CGCTCTCTCTCTCTATATATATTCGCATTATACGAACGCACGTATAAACCTCGCGATAAAAGATTCCTCGGGAATCAAAATCAATAACCGCGCGATGAACTTATATAGCGAGGCTCGCGTCCCACGGTCGATAAAGGTCTCTTTCTCGTCGAGTTAACGCGGCTGCGCATCAGAAAATTCGCGCGGATTAAGATTGGAGATAAAATCGAGCGGTGGTAGTTGCTAATGGTCTATTACGCGCTGTCCGCGCATTTCTCGCTCGAACGCTCGGACATCTCCTAGCCATGAAAATGACTCGGCTGTTCGTCCAAAGGTGCATCCTCTCTCCCTCCCCCCTCCCTCCCACCCTCGGGATGGCAGCGTTACTCGGTCATGCCTGTCAACGATCCGACAATCGATATCGCGCGCGTCGATCGGCACGTTGGCCGCGTCGCGCCGGCCGCCGCGCCAAGCCACGCCGGAGCCAGAACCCGAGCCGTTCCCAATTAGGACGCACGCGCTTCGCATTTTTCAGCGGCCGTTTCATATAAAATAAATGTGCTAACTAACCAATTACAGCGAGACGGCCTCTGGGAGACGACCGGTTGCATCGCCGGCGCTCATTAGTGTCACGCTTAAGTGCCGATTGCACCTTCGCCGCAACGGCAGATGCGTTGCTGCTGTTGCGCGCACGACGACGATGATGCATCGCGATTCCGCGACTCGCCTTTGAGAAAGTCAATATCGCACACCGGAATTCCGCGTTACTCTTCTTGCGCGGTTCACCGAGATGACGTGTCGCTTGATTGATGAGTTTTCCGTGTGCTCCGAGTGCGCTCCAAAGAAGGTTTAGTCATTGTGTGTTTAGAATGGGATCTTATTTTTCAATGACTTACAAAAAACAATGCATTTAAATTCTCCACACACACGTGTTCGTATAAAATTTAAGTATGTACATAAAAAAAAAAGAAAAGAATAATTGGCGTTCTCACGCTATTGCGTGAACATATAACTGTTCCCTCTCACATTTTTTTTAAACGACGACATATCTTTCTCGGTGGCAGCTTGATACGTTCACGTGATGTGAACTTTCAATTTGAGAATTTTCTCTCTTTTATGATGTTCTGCTTCTGGCTACGCAAAGGACACGCTCTCCTGAAGAGAATCCCGCTTGCTCGCGCGCGAAATAAACGCGCCCGATTACGATTCCCGCGGCCGACCTTGCCGCGAACCCATAAAAGTGCATAATCGCGCGCCTCGCATCAGCAGCTACGTGGCAGTGTTTCCCTTGATCTTGGTTCTTGGTGCGAGCGATTACGCGCGGCCAGCTTTGTTTTCTCCCGCGTATTGCGGACCACACCCTCGCTCTGGTAGACACGGACGGTTTATATACTACATACACACGCAGAAGATGGTAATAATAATTGTTCGCGCACTTGCGTCGAAAATGGCGGCCTTGTCCTTGCGAGGCCGCGCAAGGCCGCCGCTCCTCGGACGCATCGCTTCGTGCCGTGGGAAGATTGCGCGATCTCCTCCTCGTCCGATGGACCCTCCGGCTTGCCTTGACTGATCCTTTCCACAGATTAGTACGCATCTCTTGTACATGTATATATATATATATATATATATATATATATATATATAAAATGTATATATATATATATATATGTATATACACGCACGCTGCTCTAACTAAACGCACATATACTGGCGGTAAATATAGAATTAAATGAACAGGCGCGCGCGTCGCCACCGACGATATTAATAGCCCCGCGAGTAATTTTATCCGTCAGGAACAAGTTTGTGATATTATTGCTTATGTACGAAGGATGAAGGAAAATTGTAACACGCCCGTCTCGAGTTTGCACTAATGCGCATTAATGCGTGTTAAGAATTAACATTCTTTATTGGCTGTACGCCAAGTTACAACGTGATCGATTTACACGACATCGTGAAATAAAATGAGATGTAACATCACATAGAGTGTGGGATATATGGAAAAAGAGAAAGAGAGAGAGAGAGAGAGAGAGAGAGAGAGAGAGAGAGAGGGAGAGAGAGAGAGAATATCAGAGGATAACGTCAGGGGATTAAGATAAAAATTCGCGCTACAAGGAAAGTATGATTGCGCGGAAGAATAACCGCTTCTTGACGACTTTCAAAGACTTAATGTAATAAATCGAAATGAGTATGGAAGTGAGTCAGCAAACGAGTGTGCTTAGAGTTTGAAATCTGATTTCCTTCTTAATTTCCATCTGCTGTGTAAAAAATGTTAACGTTTTGATAATACCTCCGTAATATCTTGCACGCAACGTATTTCTATTTTTCCCACATCATTTATAAAAGCAAGATTATAAACAGGATACATCAATAAGTGTATATACACAATTATCTTTTCGATAGGAATGCAATTATATTCTAACAATTTGAAATAGAATCTTATACGTGAAATTAAGAATTTCTGCAAAGACGAAGATTTTAAATGAATGCAATGAATCAAACTGAATTTTATATTATATTAAATACATATATATATATATATATATATATATATATATCAAAAGAACTGGCCTAACAGGTTGCGAAGAAACGTAACACAGGTTGCAAAGATCGCGCTATGTTATGGCAACGAGATATGCTCCTCGCCACTTTGCGGCGCGTCTTTTTCTGAATATCTCGCCATTTCTTCGATCTTGTTAGCAGTATGTTTGAATGAATGGCATTCTCCTGTACGCTCGGCTGCTCGCGTGATATTCGATAATTTTTGCAAACTTTTCATCCAATAGCGAAGCAGCGTATGTATCTTTGTCCCGCTATTGGGACAAAATATTTGTTTGTTAATTCGCGTTACACACACAGAAACAACATGTATTATACCGTAATCAGCAAATCTGATATTATCGCATATAGATTCTTGTTGCATTTCGTGAATATCACGCGAAACCGTTACATTCTAGAAAGTTACATTAGAGAAAGAGAAAGAGAGAGAGAGAGAGAGAGAGAGAGAGAGAGAGAGAGAGAGCGCAATGATGTAAATTGCAGCGACAATCAAATCATCGCGGAATTTCCAGAACTCAGGCGGAAATCCGCGCCTAGCGCTTATAATGATTGAACGATGTTCCGCATATTGCGACAACAACAACGAAAATCGACACTTAGCGACACTTAGCGATGATGATGATGATGATGATGATGATAATGATGATGATGATGACGATAATATGACGACGTTATAATATGACGACGGTTAGATCATTCACGAAACATCGACGATGGAACGTTGCGTATTCGCGTTGCGTAACGCTTACGTTCGCGATTTAACGGTAGTAGACCGACGATTTTCTTCGTCTGTCAACCGGCAAACGATTATATGCGTAATTGCCATGCTGATATTTCCCGCTTGGCGTAACGTAGCATACGTGCGGAAATGCGTGTGCAGGACGATCGACAAAAAGCCAATACGACCTTAGTCCACTTTATAAAAAAAAAAAAAAAAAAAACCATTAATAAAATCTAATTTTGTACAGATCCGAGACAGTCGAAAAAAAATCAGAGAAACACCTCCGATCTTTTTTTCTAGTTTGTATGTCCGTCAATTTTTTTTTTTTTGCTCTAAATTTGCTTAATAGGATTAAAGACCGTCTGACTGATGTCAGGCGTTTTTAAAACTCTTGGCGCTACGCACTCCGAGCGATTTCTATAAAGCGGATCACATGACGCGTGAGAGAAAAGCTCATAATGATGTAGGTATGTAACGGACGTCGCGCCGGTTCACACCGGTAACGCGTTGTACATGTTGCGAGCTCGACAAAAATTAAAACCAAGGTCGTTCCACTTTCCGCCTACTCGGAAACCGCGGTGGTTAGCTCGTAATTTTTACAGTCTTTATCCCCGCGATGACGCGCAAACTCGCGTTGAAGTAGACGACGACGACGACGACGACGACGACGTGTAAAAATTCGGTGCCTTCGCGAGCACGCAAGAAGAAGGCTATCACACACGTGATATCGTCGTCGCTGAATCTCAGGCGAGTGTTACCAAATATAGAGACTGCATTGAGCTTGTCTCTTGTTTCAGTTGCAACCGTATAAGGATGTTCGCATGCAACATTTTGTAGTTACCTAAATGTCTTTTTTTGCGAGCGACTTGCTTGCGCCATTTTTCGCAACAATGATAAACAATGTATTTCTTTCTCGTCAGAATGCGATTCGCAATTTTACACGAACGATCCGATTATGTCAATAATACATCGGCGAAAATAAAACTTTGTTCGGCGTGTACATTAAAATCAATTTTTGTGGCGGAGAAATGTCGAGAGAACAAAAACCGAATTGATTTCAATCGAAGTATATATGTACTACATTATAGTGAAGACAGAGAGAGAGAGAGAGAGAGAGAGAGAGAGAGAGAGAGAAAGTGTACACTCTCTGTTGGCAGATAAATCGCGTATTATAAACCCAAACAGAAACAGTCTAACAAAGCGCTCGAGAGAGCTCAATCCTGCCTTCCTCTCAAGATCGATCTACACTCGTCTCGAGGTAGCTTCCGATATCCCAGCCACCATCATGATCGGCTGCCATTTAATCTCAGCACGCCGCAATTGTCAGCTTCTCGCGCCCCGTCGTTGCGCGTTATGCATACACGGAGACTGACTCGGCTACTACGAGTAGCGATTATTGCGTTCTCCTCTAGGAAGGAAGAGAAAAGGTATCGAGGGCGGTGCTCGCGCTCCTGTGGGGTAACACGCTCCTCCGGCGGGCACAACAATAGGACCCATATTGAATAAACCCACGTCCACGTAGGTCGGCCGTGGCAGCCGCGCGTATTCTGTTAACCGGCGGACTCCGCGGGCGAGGCTCAGCCTGATATTGCTGGCACTGACAGCGAAGACTGGTAGAGGTGGCTGGCACACGGTATACCAGCGACGGACTAGGTATACTGCGGCGGCTGTGTCTGTGTGCGTGCGCGTTGCCGGTAGACCTCTTACACTCCGCTCAGTTGGAGCCGGGCGTCAGTGACTTCGCGTCCGCCGATCCGACCGGGTCTTCTCCAAAAGGTGCGAGGTGCGTCTCCCAGTTCGGAGACCAGAAATCTCGCGTCAGAGAAATCACACAGAGATTTTGTCGAAAAAAAACATAGTGCCGAACGTGTTGTGCAAATTGAAAAATACTTTAATTTTTCTTTTTCTTTTTTTACTCAGTAGAAGTATACGATAGGTAAATTTTTCTTCTCGAAATTTCTTCGAAAATAAATTATATTTGGAAATAACTTAGATTTTTTTTTTTAATGTATTTTATGTGATTGCGAAAAATCATAAATGCATGGGATTAGGTTTTTTGTTCAATATATCAATATGGTGAATGTCAATTGCGAGTATAGAGGCAAATTATCGAAACTTCGATTAAACGTTTCCGCGATCGAACCGCGGATGGGAAACACTTTGCCCATATCTCTTGCCTATCTGTTTCAGACCACCGTGATGCAGCGCGACCTCGGCCGACAAGGTGTCTGAAGGATATCCCCGCAGGACCTCTCCTGTCTCTTTCTCTCTATTTCGCCCTCGCCTTTCGTTTTGCGCTTGGATACGGTAGGTCCTGTTCGGAGGCTACCAGGATGCGGTTCAGACCCAGTTATCGAGGCGTCTGAAGGCACCCCGCGGCCCCGTATACTCGTCATAAAGCAATAAAAGCGCCCGCGCCACGAAGATATATCTCGCGAGGCCCGCGTAAGAAACGGCGAAAGAAAGCCGACTGCACCGGTAAATCATAAACGCCACGGGGATCGAACCGCGGGAGATAACTGCCTTCACGTAAGGAGAGAAGGACGGAGCAGACGCACGAAGAGACGGCGAGAGAAAGAGAAGAGCTGCGGCTCGCGGTGAGCCGAGCGCGGGATTCATCGTTCGATCGCGCGTCCATCGGGATCCATCTGTATCCATCCTCGAACGGCCTCGGCAGCGCTCGAAAACCCTAAGCCCGGAAGAGGAACTTCGCCGTTGTTCATCATCATCGGGAAACAGGACGTCCGGAAGATACCTCGGCTGTGCAGCGAGAAACGGTCTTCTTCCCGCACGTTTCTTCCCCGCCGGGGTGTAGCGAAAATATCGTCGATAGATCCTGACGATTTTTTTCTTTGGAAAAAGATACGTAGTCCATATGTGCGTAGACGTTCTTCGCCGTTCTCTCTCGCCAGTGATCATCGGAGGATACCGTCGGTGAATCGTGATAGCACACGATCATCTCCGCCGATTTCGGCCTCGCCGTTCAGAAATAAGAGATGCGTTTGCTCGAAACGGTGTTTATCTCCGTCGGGAATATTCTAACCGTAGATAGCGATAGTTCGCCGTGACGCGCGCAGGCGCGCTACCGCTCGATCGGTGCCGAGAGAGGAGATCGATCCGCTTCGAGAAGTGTGATAAGTGTAACGCGCGGAAAGTAGTAGACTCGCGAGCAGAGGCCGACGCCAATCGCTCTGACGGCGTTCCGTCGATGAACGATCGACCTGTTCGACAGTGTTCGACGTTGTTTCGTGATCCTCGATCTCTCACTGCGCACTGTTGCCCCCGGGCAACAGTTCAGTGGCTAGTGGAACCGAGAGAGTTTCACGTTATTATTATTTAACGTGTCGGGGGATCAACGAGGCGATCTTAATATATCGTATCGCAAATCAATTTCACGTCGTTCGACGAATTGAGAATCAATCATCTTTCTCGTCCAAAAGAAATTTAAAAACAATTCTTCACGTGACATCTCATTTCTCACGCGAGCTTGCGAAAGGAATGCGAGTGGCGCCCGCAAAGCGTCGAAAATAACTCAGCGCTGAGGGAATTAATGTCACTATCATCGCGCCGCGAGACGGAAAGTGACGGTCGCCGACCGCGGCGGAGTGACATAATTGAAGAAGAAAGTGCCAGCGCGGTCCGAGCCCGTTATTAAGCGGTAATGAGCGAGCGTCGGGAGAGGGGCAGAAATGTGTTGGAGAGCAAGCGTCGAGCTCGCCCCGCTAGCGCGAGGATTAAATGACGCTACTCGAGCCAAGCGTCACCCTGAAGAAGAAGACTCTCGCTCTCGAAAAACAAGGAGTTTCACGTCACGTCGTCGTTTTGCAATTTCAATTCAAATGTTCTGGTGAGACTATATCGATGTTCCCGGGAATCGTTCGCGAAACGTGATGCAATTCGAGAACGCGTGAGATCATGTCGTCGAACGGCGAATTCTCGACGATGTCCAGCGAGGAGGTGCCTTCGCTGCCTAAGTCCCTGCCGAGTTCGAGGGAGGCGACCGCGGAGGGTTGTTCCGGTTCCAGCGGTGGTTACATGCCGCTACGGGAGTTTCTCGATCGATTTTCGTTGCCACGAGTTGTTCGTCTCGAGGGCACCGGCGGCAGACCGGTGCTGCTGTACAAGCAGCAACAGCGATCGTTGAGAGTCACGGCCAGTTTGCTGATACATCGGTATCGACATGACGTCAAGGTGGGACCGGAGATCGTCATCCCGGAGGGTTACCCAGGTGAGTTCTTTCAAGATCGGAAACTTGGAGATCGGTCGTTTCGATGCGGGTCGATGATTGCGCTCCGCGGCAGCTAGGAAATTGCAATCAGCCGAGTTTCTTTGGAGTTATTATTACCGTTCGCGCGGAGGTTCGATTCCGGAAAGCGGAATATCCGCAAAAAAATCTGATTCTTCTCGGGTGTATTTCGATTCGATCGAGCGAATGATTAATGATATCTTGCGAAATTGAAAAATTTTTTCGGGCGATGATTTCGATCTGCTGGTATAATACGACACGATGAATAACGTTAATAGAAAATTACTAAAATTTCATTGAAGTCTAAAATATAATTTTAATTTCCTCGACGTTCTTTCAGTTGCCGTTCTTTAATAAGTTATTTAAGTTGGTTATCGGCAGCTGCTCTTTTAATAGTTCGCGTTTTGCGCGATGGACGACAACATGTAGCACGTAAATTATGCTCGGCAGAGCGAACGGTAACGGTTGTGGAGATCGTCCGGTTCGAATCATCGGGAACAGGTTATAGACTCCATCGGGCTTGCTTGCTTGAGCGCGCGCGCGTTTGCACTCTCGCGTGTGACGCGAGAGAAGGACTTGAAGAAAAATGATAATGCCTCGACGTCGCGGCTGGGAGAAAGAGAACCCTTCACAGTCATACGACTAATGTCGCGACTCTCGTTTTCTTCTTATTTCATATCGTAAAATATACTTTGTAGCAAAGTGAATCGCGAGACTGGCCGCCGCCTCTGTGTGCGCGCTATCGTTTGCTTATATCGCTTTTCTGGCATCAGAAATGGAAATTACGAGGCAGTAATGCAAACCTATTAGATCGAATGGACGAAAGGGTAAAGGGACTTGTTTTAGGTCTCGGTGGTGGCTCGACGGCTTGTTGAGAGAAACCGTCAGAGCTAACGACGCCTGGTTCTTTCGCTCGCGAGTGCAACGAGCTATTCAATATATCGAAATTTTTTCTCTCGCGATTGGCTCTTCTTCCCTTCTGCTTCGATCGTCTTCTTCTTCATCTTCTTTCGTTCTGTTCTTCAGACCCAGGGCGTGAAATTGGCGTTGCACACGACACACTGTCGCGCACAACTGCCGCTAACTGCCTCTAATAAACGCATACGCTTCGTATTTTAATGAAAACGTCGCTAGCGAGACGATGCGTGACGGTTATGAGTCAGACATGTTAAGTGGTTCGGAAACTGGCAAGAGTTACAGCATTCGCCACTTACGATCTCGTCAATGAACAAGGTGCGATTACGCGAGTGTCTGACGAATCGCGAAATTCACACACACAGGCTCGCCCGAATTGACGTCAGAGTTTGTCGAATATTTCGTCACGCACGTTCTGTTTCTTTTTTTTTTTTTTTTTCGCAATCAATAGCGGCCGATTCATGCGAGAAAACCGTCGCCTGTCACTCGCGCGCGAGTGAATTATTCCGCGCGGAGCGTGTCGATGATTCACACGCTCCGCAGGTGAGTTCAAGGTGTTGGCAAACAATTTCTAAGTTTTCTCCGCGTCGGCCTTGAAACGCGTTGATGAGACGACATCTCCGCTTCTGTTCCCTCGCCCGTTTAATAGCCTGCGATATACTTAAGTATCGACTTCTTCTTTGAAAAGATATCCAAAGAAGAAAGATATCCCCGGTATCCTCGCACAAGGTACGTATCTTCGAGTCACGGCTGTCACAGAGTGAATAATAATGGATCGCGAAAAAGCGATTGTGCTTTTTAGTGATATATAGACGCGCCGGACAGATCATTCGTTATCCGAGGTAGAAGCGGAAGAGATCCCGAGGAGCTGTGAAGAGCTGAGCGTTAGCGCGAATACGAGTTTCACGCCGATCGCGTCATAAATTGGCACTTGAGGCGGACGCGAAGTTGGTTCACGTCGTCGTGAAGCATCGGAGTACTAACAGTAAATTGAGCCGGGAAACGTTACTCCACGCCCACGAATTCGCCACGATGAGCGTCGCGACGTAACTCACGCGCGGCGGAATCGCGCGCGCGCGCGCCCGCGCGCAAAACATAAGATAAAAGAAGAACACCAGGTTTTCCAGGGAGAGACGTCTCGGCGCGCCGATGAATTAGTTCCGCGTGTATAAACGCTTCTCCGCGAGTACGCGAGAGAGCGATAAAGAAGCGTCGTCGGACATTTACTATTGGCCGCGCAAAAACGTAATAGACGCGCATGCAGATCGAATTATAGTGTGCGACCGTGCTCGTTCGCGCGACAACTCGCGCAATCGCGTGCGATCGGTCCCGGGAGAGACGCGCGGAGCGTGCGAGAAGTCATAACGCGTTCTTGCGTTTTTTTCTCTCGTTTGCGGATATACAACGAGACCCGTCTTCCTCTCCGCCCGTGAAAACTGCAGAATTGTCTTTCCTTATGGCCGGTCGTACGGCGGCTTCGTTTGGTCGGTGGTTTTATGGCCGATCGGACCGGGGAGAGAATTCTCTTCCCGGTCTGAAGTCTTCCCGAGAAACTAGAAACTCTCTCAGCTGCTCACAGCTGCGACGGTTCCGCGTCATCTAAATTCCGTCCGACGCGTCGTGATAAATTTCACTATTTTCACAGGACAAAAGTGTTCTCTCTTCTCCGTTTCTTCTCGAGCTGTTTCCTCGGCTGCTTTTCTCTCCGCGTCATCGTGGAATTTCAAGCGGCGCGGCACGATTTCGAACCGGACACTTTCGTCATCCAGCTTAATCCCATTTGTCCGGCGCGGCGCACGTGCGTGAAATGCGCGATCGCCGGCTGCCGTTCAATGCGAGCGTGCCGTGTGGGTTAGTTGCACGAGAAACCGCATTGTAATTTCGTCTCTCGACGGGTGTGATATAATCCGCCACGTTCGATTTCCGCCTGTCGGTCGCGAGCGTCGCGAAAACGATCCGTAACGTTAATGAGATTGTAGAAGAATCTCATCATACATTGTTTTTGTTATAACATATGTGTTTATTACAATTTTTTTTTTTTTACCGCATTACGCGTTGCATTGTTAAATCGCGATGAAATATTTTTAACAGATGTCTGAACTCTCGTCATTGAGAAACAAGTCGCAATTATTATTAAACATTTACATAAATATCTCCTACAATCAGTGATAATTTTATAAACGAAACAATTCATCTATTTAAGGAAATATATACCAAAAGTCTCATTAATTGAATCAAAGAAACCAGTCTCTCAGTAATTAGCGTCGTCAGATGCGTGCGTGTGTATATAAGCGGTGATAAATATTGCATAACTCACGGAGCTTGAAATGATTCAGTCTTTACGAGCAATAACCGGAAAGCGAAAGAATCCCGGGTTCGAATCCCTGGTCTAGTCACTTGTGCCAATTTTTCTACGTGGAGAATTAGTTCCATTTTTCACTCTTGTGTATCTCTTGATGATATAAAAATTTATATAAAAGAATATATAGATATCTATTATTTAGATCAATTAAAATTGTAAGAGAATCGAAAATAATGCGCGTAAGGCCTGGATAATTTTTCGAATCGACAGCTAATAAGTTTAATTTTTTGACGTACTTGTATGTCTATTAATTAATTTATTTATTTTTTTGACGTATCGAAATGGCTTGATCGTAGCTCATGATTAAATCTTATTCCTGATAATTTTTCACAAGCAAATATTTGTGTTAGATTTTATTAAAATTCTCATACACGCAAAAGATTTTTAACAAAGCATCTTGTTGTGTGCAAAGCATCTCTTTTATGTGTGATCGCTGAATTAACTCGCACGCAATTTTCCTACACAAAGAAAGCCCCTGAAATCTAGCCTTTATAGAGGAAGAATTGTAAGTTGCAGACATGTGTTTCGTGTCTATCATAATCAGCTTACTTAGACGAGTAAAAAGCGCGTCGAGTATTTTCTTCTCTCTAACGCTTTTGCGAGAGAGATCGCGCGCTCGCGATGTTCGCAAATGAAGACATTCAAGAGTGGATGAGAAACACGTGAGCGGAAGTTGCTTGTACGTATTTCGAATCAAAGTACAATGAAGTCGCATAATTTCGAGTAATGTTTCTTTAACTCGCTTTTTATTTCTCATCGAACATCACTCGCGCGACGACAACAGTTACAGATTCTTACTCGAAAACTAAAGTCCAGAAAACAGAGCTAGAACAAATAGCGATAAGTTGTGTTCCAGAAGTATATTTATTAATTAGTAACGATTTTAACTCCAATTACACGTGTGAAAACGAAGAAGAGAAGAAATGCCATTCGCGAATTGTCGCCTAGCGAAACGAAATCTTGTCCGAAGCGCGCAACTTGAATCTTCAACCGGGATAAAATTACTAGGGAAAGATTCAGAGGCGCGCATCTCCGATTCCAGGGACTGATAGGGACGATGGACGATATCGCACAAATCACCGGCCGCGACTTAACTGCTATTCGTGCACATCCCGACGAGACGGAGACAGACAGAGAAAAAGAGAGAGAGAGAGAGAGAGAGAGAGAGAGAGAGAAAGAGAGAGAGAGAGAGAGAGAGAGAGAGAGANAGAGAGAGAGAGAGAGAGAGAGAGAGAGAGAGAGAGAGAGAGAGAGCCGATGACTCTTAGCGGCCGGGCTCCAGTTTACAGTAATTTATTAGGCGTGTAAACCTCGGGAGGAGAGCGACTCTCGTCGAGAGGGTCGACGTCCTTCCTCTCTCACGTGAGGAACGAGACCCTCTCGTCGACTTCTTCCTCCACCTTCGTGTTCTTTCTTTTTCCGCTTTTGTTTTCTGTTTTTTTCTTTTCTTTATTCACTCCGCGGCACTGTTAACGCACGAAGGGGCTACGATGGACTTCGGTAGCCCCTAAAGTTTTATGGAACGGTTTACGAGATAATCGCGCACCCGCTCATTTGGCACGGCGCGAGAGAGAGGGATCCCACCTTTCGACAGCGGATCGCCCGCGGCGAATCGACGCTCGCCGATGCACCGTTGCGATGCACCGCGTAAGAAAAAAATAAAAAAATAAAAAAGGAAAGGTAAACGATCTCGCGCTCTTGACGGAGGGAAGATGGATCGTCGTAAAAAGTTAAACCGATAGCGCAAACGGTCGGTTGTAGCGGGACATATCATTCCTTTTTGCATGTTGCGTGTTAAACGAAAAACTAAAAAAATGTTCTGAACGTCATTAGAAAAATCGACAAGAGAGATCTTTTATTCCAATCGCAATCCTGTACGGATGAATCCCGTGCTTTTTCTCTATTGTATTATTTTATTATTCGATGAAAAAAAAATATATGAATTACGCAACAGACAACGATTTTCGCGTGAAAACTATCCGCCGAGGCGAATCGGCGATTTTGCGCGTTAGCGTTTGGAGCGCGAAGAGGACTCTTGACGATTCCCCATCTACGAACGGAGAAGCGAAGAATGAATTGCGTGCAGTATTGCGATCGTGATTGCCGGGCGATCGTATAGATCGGCTTATCCGACGCGGCCGTATGGTTTTACTGCCAACTGCTCGGCCCCGGCGGAGATGTCTCGACTCTTTATCCGAGATATATATATATATACGATATATACACACACATATATATATTATATATATACATATATATACATATATATATATATATATATATATATATATATATATATATATATATCGTTATTTGCTCGGCGCGGACCTCTCCGACGAGGTCTTACACGAGGCAAGAATGTTGCGCGGGCCAGACGCGCCCTCGGCGATGACCGGCCTCCCCCGGTTTTAAATAACGGTCATTACGTGCCGGGGTATAACTCTCTGGGGTATCGCGCACGGCGTTGGACGTTGCGGAACCGACTCCACGACAAAGGAGAAAGAGAAGCGAGAGACAGGATTCAATCTATCCGTCCGCGCGCCGGTCGGCCCCGTCTAATTTCTACAAAACGATAGAATCTATAAAAGCGACCTACCCAGCCAATAAACTGCGATCGACCCCTGCTTCCTCGCTCTGCTATCGTCATGTTTCTCCGCGCTCCTACACTCTCTATTTCTCTCTATCGGCACTAATATACACCACCGACGCGACTTCTAATCTACCGATGCTCAATCTTTAAGGGGTATCTAGTGGCTGTGCGATTCAATCACGACGACAAATTCTCCACGCACTTGCGTCGCAATATTCGATATTCATTTTTCTGCGCCGTGTAAGTTGCGATAATTTTGTTTACTCGATTTTGAAGCGAAATTGTTGCGATCGAACCGAATAAGGATTTAATTATGTGTGTGTTATAGAAGAGAATGGACTGTGTTTTATATAAGAAATTTCCCATAAAGATACATATCGAACGCGCAGCGGAAATTCTTACCGCGGCAGGTATCATCGATAGCAGCGTGCCCGGGAACCGTACGCTATTGTCACGGTTCGATTCACGTCCAGGTAATATTATATCCCGAATGATTGGTCTCGCGGCGTAACGTGAATTATGCACAATAAAGATTCCAGCCGTGAGATGTAGGCTGCGAGTCTCTCCCTTACTTAATGTTCCCCCTAAACACATATATCGCGCACCTGGATACCACAATGTTTACCTGGAACGTCACGCCGACACGCCGGCGATCTTTCGCGTCGAAATATTCCCCGATCCCATCCGATATCGCTGTCGCCGATCTCTCTCGCGCGCAACCCCGCTATTCAATCACGCTTCCACAATTATCCGATTCAGATCGTATATTCGAAAAGGATCTCGTTTAAAATCTTGATGTGCCAGCAAATATATAAATAAATTGTGCGAGCGTAATATAATAATTCAATAAATCAACATGCGATTTAATTGTAAAGTTTGTTTGTTTACTGAATATGTAAACAAATTGTAAGATGTTACACATCTGATAAATTAAGAATTCGGATTCTCTGACTTCCGAAAAGAAATGTTTCGACACAAAATTTAAACATCTCTGCGTTCTGACCGAGTCACGCGCGCTGCCGATGACAAAGCCTATTGTCCGTTTCATTGAAAGGAAACTTTCCCTTCACGCTCCCAAGCGGGTGGGCATAAATTAGGATGAATTCTAGAAATGTGTTGCAATCTGTAGCTGCTGCTCGTACGAGCGCACCTGGTGCGCAAAATCAACATCCGGCTGCTCGGTCGTTGCAATTCTTACCGCGATTGTCATCGAAACTGGAATAATAAGAGAGTTTTTGATGTCGCAATTTTCCAGATGTGTTTTAAAATTATCTTTACCCGGTTGTGTTTTTAAACGCAAGAAAAACATGAGAACTACTTTTTTCTTGTCTTTTAAACTCGAGTCGAGACTAAAAACAAGTCGATTGCGGTTCAACCGTTGCTGAACGACATAAAAGTCTCAATTCTGTTCTCAATTCTCCGACTCTCGAGTGTTTCCTGAGTAGAAAATTGCGAACAATTTCGAGTAATTCGAAACAATTACCAGTCTTTCAAAATGTCATCGTTCGATAAATAGAAAAACATTCACTTCGAGAGCGATTTTGTTCCGAAAAAACAGACAGTGGGGGAAACCCTTCGTGTAGTTTTCTTCGCTTGCATCAGGAACGTGCTTGGGTCTGCGTTGATTCATATTTAAGATTCCGAGAGACAACAAACACAGCGCTCTTACGTGTGTTCCTGTATCAGATCTATCTTGGGTTCGAGCATTAAATTCAGACACACACGCGCGTGCCGTGAATAGTTTTACAACGTGTTCCGTTTCGTAACGGGCCGGCATTTATGGCATTATACACGCAACAGACACAGTCTGTGCGGACCTTGTGAGGCGATGTCGCGTTAACGACGGAACAAAATGGATTTTTTAGAATTATTTGGACAGACGATTCACGGCACGAAGAGACCGCGCACTATCACTCTCGCGCGTATACATACGTGTTTGTTCGGTAAAGCGTTTATACTTTACAGAGCGTTAATGGAAAGAGTTAATGAACTCCAAAAAAAAAAAAAACTGACGTCTAAACGTTTGTTTTTTCTCGTGTTCTACAGTCCCGTTATCGGACGCCGATATGATATTTATAATATTATGTATATCTTACAATTATATAGCGTTTGTTTTTAATTGAAGAATTCACGCATTTTTTCCATCGCGCGTTTATAGATGCGTTTTCGCTTGTGTATTTCGGTTTCACTTCTTCGAGGGAGAAATACCCGGCAATGAGCAATTAGAAAAATAGGTTGTTTAGATAAGGTTCTAAAAAAAAAATTTGTTATTACTACGCAAATCGATGAGAGAGGGAATATAATCTCGCAATTACAGAAGACAATGCACGAGGAACGCGCGAGAGCCCGTCGTCTCTCGTGGAAATCTCTCTTGGCGTGTGTCTGCGTGAATCTCGCCTGAACTTTTCCGTAAATTTTTCTTTTAAGCGGATGCGGCGGACCATTCCCCACGTAATTACACGTTTAAACATGCTCGTTCATTCGCGCAGCAAACTCGCATTTTATCTTATCTCGGATGCGCGCGTGGAAATTGAAAGTGAGGGAAGGTTGCCGTGCAACTACTGCCGCTTGTGCAATTGCCGCCGACTCGCAACTCGCGGGCGGGCGCACGCCTTCGCAATTCTTTTCCGGGATACACGCACCCGTCCTTGCCCGCCGACGTAACCGAGGAAACCCCATTAGGCTTTTCCTCGGAGACGTTCTCAAGACCGCACTGAGAGAGAGACAGAGCCAATATCATATACGCGCGTTTACTTGCACGCGGGTTTCCAGGTCGTTGATCTAGAACAAACAAAAACCGGTAGCCCCGCCGGTTGCTAGATTATTATTCCATCAGTTAACCTCGAACGGAAATTAATGCGCGCGCGAAACGGAAAAACTTTCCCAAGGAAAACCGCCCTGTTTCCTTTAGCGCCTCCTTTTCCCTTCTTGTATGACTCGCGATCATCCGACAGTGAACGTTTTTCTATATTTTAATATAGAAAAAAAAAAAAAAAAAAACAAATATACAGAAATTTAAAAGCATATGAAATGCGTTAAATAAATAATTAAATTTGCGACATCTCAAACATTGTTTTAACGCAATTTTGCGTTTATTATTTCGACGTGAACATTTATACTGTAACAAATACAAGTATTTTCGTTAACACGATTTCAATTCTCTTGCCGTGGAGTTCTCTTGTTAAATTTCTTCGTTTTTTAAAAATCGAGATAACTTTGTGTTCGAGAAAATCAAAGCTCTCGACGAAACGCAGCATTCCGGGACGATCTGAGCGATTTTTAGGGACAGAGCGATTCAAGGTGCATCGTATACGTGCTCTCGCATCGGGGCGGCATTCTTAAATCAATTAACGACGAACAAAAAAAACTCGTTGACCTTCGATCAGCCGACTCCGGCTACTGTATATCTCCGCCGTGGCGGAGTGGTTCGAAATCGTCTGTTTGTAATTTGGCGGGAGTATTTTACGAGCCGGTTATGGAAGCAGTCTCTGGAAGGGAACATAGTTCCTGTCTTCTAGATAGATGCGTTTTTTAACCCGTCTTTAGGCCACCGGTTGGCGAAAACCAATATGTGTGCGCTGCATGCGGTTTCGACAGAGACGTGCTTGACCGGTCCTCTAATCGTTCGGACTACGATTAACAAAAGTTCAGCCTTGGGACTCGTCAGACCAGAAGCGAGCTGTGCAAATTCTTCTCTATGTTTCCAGACGTGGCATGTACAATTCGTTTTCCATTGTAGATTTTCGCAAATAAATTAATAAAATTTACGGAGAAACATTCGTGCGAATTAAATGGATTCGCGATTTTCTTAAATATGTTGATCGCAGTGGCAAAGCTTCGTAGAAAAAATATATTGACGTTTTGTTATTTGTTAATTATTACTCAGATCGCTTGATACAGAAGAAGAAAAAAGATTTGCTGTATTTCATATATACCGCACAATTCTTTGTATTTTGACGTTTTTTTCTTTACTTTTTTTTTTCCCAGGGTGGTTTTCTGTGATATCCGGCAACAGTACGACGGGCAGTGCGCGCGTCTACCGAAGAGTGGACTCTCTGGTGAAGACCGGGGTGCCCGCGTTTCTGCTGGCGACACCTTTGAGGGCTTACACTCTGACGCACTCGAAAATGGGTAAGTACGGACGAAGAAGATGAAGACTGGAAAGTGCCGGCACGTTCATTGCACGACCGTTCGCGAAATGTCAAGCGGCGCAACGTTCTTGACCCAGATGCATAGAAATATCGGTGCAACATAGAAAGTGATATCTCTCTCTCTCTCTCTCTTTCTTTCTCCCTCTTTCCTTTTCTTACCATCTCGCTTGAAAAACAAGAAATGCACGATCGCAAATATCAGCTCTCTTTCACAGAGAGAAATACTGCGCGTTTATTGCTTTCCGCGCAACTTAAATTCGTTAACATTCGAAGAGCGCGAGTAAAAATATCTGTAATTATAAAAATCGATAATTAAGGCGAGGAAATAACAATTAATTTAGAGAAGATTCTTCTTTCTTTTTTTCTCCAGTAAATTAAAATTTCGTTGATTTCGATCAAACATAATAAAAAAAAAAAAAAAGAAACTCGATTTACATACTTAAGTTGACAAGAATGTTTCTCTTTATCTCTTGTTTCGTTTGCTACTTTACAATCTTGTTAAATATGTGAAACCTGAGAAAAGAGGAAGTTCCCAGAATTCCTGCCGTCAGACGGCGACAAGACGTCGAAATATCGTAAACCTGTCCAAGCCGATGACATGCAGATCAGTAGGATATAAATTGCCGTCTATAAAACTGAGCTTTCGTTAAAACGGGAATATCGGCAAAAACATATCGGGTAACGGGGCAGCGCGAGCGGGATCAGCCTCTGACCCTTTGATGTTAGATACACATCGCGCGGCGGGACATGACTTAGAAAGGACTTCTAACACCGCCTTTTAGCACCGTTTAGTACCGTTAAGGATGCCTGTAGGACATGACTGTTAGGATCGATTATGTTTCCTTTGAAGAGATCCAACGCGTTTGTTAACGGGACCGCGTTCTCGATATAATCGCAGCATAATCGTAATCGCCAGACTTGCACGATCACACCCTTTGTTAATCGAACGTCGCCAAACAATACCGATTTTTCAATGTTCAATGTTCAATCCTACGCGCGCGTCTCCTTTCAGAGAACGGAAATCTGCGAGCTCATTACACGAAGACAACGATCCGAGCCGGCGAGATATTGCGACTCGTGGCGGTTTTTCAAGATACAAGAAGATGCAGCTCGGTCTCCTTCGGGATCTCCGGCGGATGTCCCGAGAAGGATCAATACGCGCAATGCATAGATCTTCATGGACGCGAGGTGTTCGCCTCGCTGTCGACCAGGGGCGAATTCTACGCGATATGTCAGAACGAAAGCGTCGACTCCGGCAGCGATGCGGTGCTCTATAAAGTTCACCATCTCGCGAGACGACAATTGCCACTTAGAGTGAGTTTGCTTTTGTGTACACACACAAAAAGAATCTGTACATATATTTTGGTTTTAATTAAACGAAACAAAAATGTTTAATAATAAGATGTGTAAAATTTTTTCTGTTAATTTTACCGTTCTCAGGTGCGATTGATAGCGGGACCGTTGCCAATACCTCTGCCGAAGGAATATGGCGGTTTAATGCAGTTGGAAACGTCGACGCGGGGTCCGATAGTGCTGGGCTGCGTCGTTCCGGAAAGGCCGGTACACAATCCGGAAATGCTCGAGTTAGTTGTGTCCGGTAACGGAGCGCCGAGGGTTCGAAGAGCCCGGTTGGGTTATCCTTCGGAGGCGAGGCTGTTGGCCTCGCCAAAAATACAACGGTTATTATCAGCCTGCAGGTAAATATTAATTAAGTCTCTCTTTTTCTTTTTTATTATTCAACAATTGTGAAATAACGTTTCTAAAAATTATCTCTCTTTGTGAAGAAACTTGTAAACATTTTATATGAAAATCTTTGACACAAACCGCGAGAAGTTTATCGTAGCTTGTTACCTCATTGTACGAAGGACATCAGAATCTTATACCGCGTGGTTGAACTGGTTCTTCTACTTTTAGCCGAGCGGTTGGAGATCGCGCAACGGAACCGCGTGTGGCACCCGTAAAGCTGCACACGCCGATCGGGGAAAATCTACGAGAAATGCATCTGAAGAAGATTTCTAAACCGAAGCCGGAGACCAAACCGATTCTGCAGAGTCTAAAGGACGGGCTGGAACACCTGAAGCGCAACACCGCAAGAGAACGGAATCATCAACAGACGAAACAAAGTACCGGGAACGGCATTCTGGATAGGATCACGAAACTCGCTCAGGGCAATAGGAATCGCAATCCCGCAAAAAAGTCGGCCTCGTTCACGTTTGCGGTGAGGCCGGAGATAGCCATGAGATCTCAGGAGCGCTACTGCAGTCTGGAACCGGAAACTACCTCTAATCAGACCCAAAAGAATCAAAACGCCAAGCAACCGGTGCAGAGATCCGTGTCCACCAGCGTGTTGGAAATACCGGCGTGCGTCGAGCTGCAGCCCAATTATTCCCGCGTTAGAGACAGTCTGACGCCGCTGCCGTCGCCACCGAAGCTGGTCAGAACCAGCAACAAAGGAGAGGAGATTTATGCCGAGATCTGCGACACCGCGACGGCAAACCAGGCGCAGAAGTGTCCGGGAAGTCACGTTATGGCGCGGATCCGGATCGTCGTGCAAGGCAGCGATTCGTCCTTCGGGACGCGCAACGTGATCGGCAACGAGAGATATGTGAACTCTATGGTAACGAGCGAGCAGATCGATTCGATCATCAGCACAGAGGACGAAGTGATTTATAATACCGTGTTTTGATAAGTCGTTTCGCGCGCGCGATTAGTGTGTACAAACTAAGTATATATGATGCTCATGATTATGCGGTAATAGGCGGAAAAAAAAAATTGTAATTCAATTCTGGGCTCGGAGCAGCAATATGTGAAAATCATAAAATGTAGACAAACCGGCTGTGTTCATCGATTGACTTTTCATCCGCTGTTTCGAGATGTAACATATTACGTATAAAAACATTAAAGAACATGTACAAGCGTCCTTTTGTGAGGAAAGAAAACAAAAAAAAAAACTGTACATATACCTCTGCCATACGTTAATGTACTAACAATTGCAATGTAAGGAAATGTAAGCATCGTAGACAAATACGTACTCTTAGAACGACAAACCGCTCAAATTAATAATTAAAAAAAAAAAAATGTAAGTGCAACTTGCGTCAAAATAAAATCTAATTTTTGTTAAATTATATCATCTATATGTGTGAAAATATTAATTAGGCGTTTTAAAATAGTAACTAATGAAAAAGACATCGACATGGTTCGCACAACAAAAATATATTTCATTCCTTCTTAAACTTCTTAGATTTCCTCCATTTTTGCTGTTTTCTTTTAAATGTGACGTCGTCTTTCGGTTTACTTTTATTTTTAACAGAATTGTCTGTTATTACTCTCTTCATTACTTCGATAGCCTTTTCTCCATTCTCGACAACATCCATGTCGATATTAACATCGGGATATCTTCCCGAAAATCCCTTCGGGAATATTGGCTTTGATAACAGAGATTGTAATTGATGTTTTTTTGCTTTTAACTGTCGTCTTAATGCTGCTTCATCCGATTCTATTGATGAGTCACTGAAACAAACAATATGTACAATCTATGCTGTGCAAGAAATTTTATTTGAAAAAAAAAAAAAAAAAAAAAAAAAAAAAAAGAAAAAAAAAACGAACAAATTAAAGTAAAAAATAAAATAAATTTCTCTCACCTATCGACATCATCCTCCACGACTATGTCCATATCTTCCGCTGCTTTTCGTAGCCAATTTTTCTGAGTGTTTTTCCGGCGACATTTCAATTCCAACTTGTCAATCTCTCGAGCAACATCCACTCTTTCTTTTATGGCAATCAACAGTTTATCTATCACGGGAAACGTGGGCAAATCGTGCGCTGAAATCAAATTATCAAAATATTTTATTATTAGGACATATGCACACTTAACTGTTAATAAATGAACGTTACTATTTTAATATTAACATACTGCGTCTAAGAGTTGTGCATAGCTTGCTGTAGTAATGTTTCTCGGAAGGTTCCATCATCAAAACTGTGATACCTTCTTTCTCCGCTCTCGCGGTTCTACCACTTCTGTGTACGTAATTCTGTAAAACAATCGCCGAAATTATGCTGTAAATATTCGAACAGTGTATTTACGTTAACATTGTCTTAGACATTCACCTCGGACGTTCTGGGAACCTGATAGTGTATTACATGTTCTATGTTGGGTATATCTAAACCCCTTGCGGCTACGTCTGTAGCTATTAACAATCCGTTTTCCTCGGCTTGAAATCTACAATTCTCTTAAATTAGTGTATAGAAATATATTTTTTTATAAAGAATATACAATCAAATATTCTTCCTAACCTTTCGAGATTTTTTAAACGTTGCTTTTGATGCATATTAGCGTGCAAAGGTAAAGGCTTGCACTCCAGTATAGCAAAGAGAGTGGCTAATCTTTTCACGCAACCGATACTGTTACAAAACACTAATGTCCTTCCGCTGTGTTTTTTCAAAAAATAATAAAGATAATAATCTTTGTGATCGATAGTGCACGATATTCGACATTCCGTCAAGTTACCAGCCGTACCTGATAAAATTTACATTCAATTATCAGATAACATGCTACGAAACATATACATTAGTTGACGATCAAAGTGCACACCTGTTACTCGTGTCAGATCGACGATTTTAGGTTTCTTGATTCTTAGTAAATGCATAATTTGCTGCAATTTCTGCTCGGGAGTTAGTTTATGTATTCTACTTCTGGTGTATTTTTTCCTCTTTTTTTCGAGATAATCTGGAAGATCGTGCACCATAGTCAAAGTAGCCGAAAAAACAAACGTCTGTCGATTTTTCAGCTTTGTTGAATTTGAATTGATTTTCTCTAAGATACTGTGCAGTTCTTGAAAATGACCTTTCTCCATCATTCTGTCTGTCTCATCAATGGCTAAGTATCTAAATTATTTAGTTTTGTCATACATATAAATATATATACATGTAACACCGATATGCAATGACTTTTTAACGTTAATTAAAACATAAATGCAATTAAAACATTACTTGATGGAATCTATTTGATTTAGATGAGGATTGCCTTCTTGGATAAGTTCCCAAAGTCTTCCAGGTGTAGCAATAACAATTTCAGGACCTTTACTTAATATCCTCTCTTGTTTCACTGTTGCCATACCTCCAAGAACAACAGCTATCTACAGTGTCATTAAAATATTAATACAATTATATATATTTAACACATATATGTAACACACACATATAAAACATATTTGTCTCACATTGATATCCGTGTATTTCGCTGCCTGAGTAAGATGATTCTTTATTTGAACAGCTAATTCACGAGTTGGTGTTATAATTAATGCATATAAAGGTTTAGTTGAAACACTTTGACAATCGTCAAACTTTGCATTATTCACAACTTTCATACAATTTTCAGATTTTACAAAGTCTTCATTTTCGGAATTAGATCCAGTAGAAATATCATCTGCATACATGTATAAATTTAGAGACTTATATATGTGAAAGAAAATGAATCTAATTAATAAAAAAGAGATTTGCTTACCTTCTGATTCTGAACTACATATTTCATCTTGACTATCATTCTTTAATGATCTTTCACATAATTCTGTTTTTGAGTGCTTACTTTTTAAATCTAAGATTCCTTTTATTATTGGGATACCAAAAGCTAATGTTTTACCAGAACCAGTTTCAGCAGCACCTAATATATCTCTTTGACCTAATATAGCAGCTGGCAATGTCAAAGCTTGTATTGGAGTGGGAGAAAAAAACTTCTGATCAGCCAAAGCTTTTATTACAACATCAGGGACACCCATAGAACTCCACGCAGTGATATCAATTTTGATTGCAGTTGCATTACTGTTTATGTTGTTGCATTCATTTTTACCGTCAGAATTTGTGGTCGCTTTTATTGTCTTCTCACTCACTTTTCTTGCATTCTTTGTTTTAACTTTTTTAATTTTCTTCGCAGGAACTTTATCAGGATCATCTTCAGTTTTATTTGTGTGTTTGCGCTTCAATGCTGACTGTAATGTGCAATATACGTTTTTTGTTATTACATATTTTAAAATATATCAAGACGTTAAGTAATCAAAATTACTTACTTTCTTCTTTTTGGCGGATTTCATTTCTGTGATTAGAACATCGCCCTTCTTGTTGCTTCGCTCTAAATTGTAGTCAGTTAACTCCTCGATTGCAATTAAACCTTCTATATCATTGGATAATAAAACACCCTCTAATGTTACAGGTTTCCATCCGGAATCACGAGAATCTTCTGTTTGTTCCCGTCTTTTTACCATGATGCTCGCTGCATTCACTACCGCAATTTGTTTTACCTTAATACGCTATGCGTAACAAAATAGAGGTTTAGGAGATTTTATAATATCTCTTAACATGCCGCGTGTCTACCACCACTCTGAACTTTGTGGCACGCACATTTTTGAGGTTAGGTTGCAGTTGAAATGTATGTTTCAAAATCCTTCTTGGTAATCAAAAACTATAGTACACGTGACGTGAAATATAGCAGTTTAATAACCACACTGTATGCTTTCAGAACGCACACATGTTATCGCTGGCTCTCAAGGGCTGTGTTCCAAATTTACTGCCAGCACGCTGCCAGTGCTAAAATTGTATAATATATGTGACTTAAACTATAGATCTTTAGCGCTGGCAGTGAATTTTGAAACACAGCCAAGGCTGTGTCCGGTTAAGCCATATATGTAATACTCCTATATGGCTAGTTGAGCAAGTTTTCCATAAGCGGAACT